TCTCTCTCTTGCCGTTCATTCTTAATCGTCAATGTAAAATTATTCTGAAGAGAAATATAACTTCATGTACTAGAAAGAACTTAGACGGAAAGGAGACAGATTGTCTGAAATTAACCATTATCGAAACCAAAGGACCAAAGGGAAAATGTGCCAAATGACACCGACTCCCTTCGGTATATACGCTCTCTAGGCTGGACCAAAGGGAATTTCTGCCATTTGGCACCCCTTCCCTTCCGTTCAGCCAAGAGCAAGCCCATATCTGTCAGACCGAAGGGAATTTCTGCCATATGGCACCCATTCCCTTAGGTACATGGCATGCGTGGTTTCATGGTTTCAGGCCCTCTCCACATGAATCAACCGTCAACCCTCACCGATGGCAAACTCCCTTACATGTTCCCTTGACAGCAGCTTTCAGGCCATTGGCAGGGTTTAACCACCCCTAAAGCTCCCTCCCCCTAGATTGTGGCACTTGGTTTCACACATTTGAAAGATATTGGACAGAAATCTGAGAATGTGTAAATTTGTAACCACCTTTGATTGAAAACATCCTCTGCTCTTCATCTCATTCTTAAAATTTCGTGTTCCAGGAAATTCAAGGTCTCCAAGGGATGGGCCCACTCCCTCTAAGAAGTAATTCAGAGAAGAAAAAGTCTCCTTCCCACTGCACTGGAAAAACTGCATCCACATCCCTTCTGATTTGGGAAAACCAAAAACTTCACAAGTGCAAAAATTACCGTATTTACTCATTTATAAGGCGCATTTATTTTTACATATTTTATTGTGTTCGATGAAGGGGTGCATATTATACACGGGGAATCTCTTTTTGACATGAATTGGGACCTCAAAAGCGGGTGTGTCTTTTACACAGTGGCGCACTATACTTGAGTAAATATGGTACATAGAATCTGGACTTACTGACCATTAAACCTAAATCAGTGTTCCCTGCAAAGGAACCACCAATCAATTTTCATTATATACATGTTATTATCTTTTTTAACTTTTGCAGATTGACCTCTATCAGACCCTGTGTAACACATATTTCGAAAGTCCTTGATTTCGAGTTAAAACTTCATTGCATATGATAAAAAATTTTACATGTGATCCTGCTGTGGTCAATGAGAAGGGGAATACACTGGTGCCATCTCTGTAATAACTGCTTTTAGACTAGTGTACAACACAAGTTTTCAACACTTGCCTTCACATCGAAGACCACATTTCTTTTCAGTTGTACTGAAAAACGTTCGTTACTCTCATTGCCCTTGACTTGCACAATACCTGTAATTCTCTCATCACCACAGACTGTCACTATCCTATAGTCTTCCATCAAAAGCGGCTTACTCATGACCTGCGACTCCCTTGACAGTAAGTCTCTTTTGCAAACAATGGCTGAAATAAGTTGTGAACGTCTTTCTCATTACTATATTTACTATATTTTTATACTCAACAATACATGTGCACAATGACATTCTGTGACGATGAGCATTAAAGGGCATCATGTCATCCATCAGACAAGAAAGGCTATCTCCTCCAAACTGATACCTGTATTATGAGACTGGTGTTCTCCAAAGGCAGCAAGTGAGAAAAACTAAAGATAATATGAATGGAAATCACACTTACTTCATTGATGTAAATGGGATACCACATAGAACAGAACAAACAAACAGATCAGTAGACTGGAAATGACAGAAAACAATATATGGAAGGATTCCTATGGATAAGTAAACAGTGTAGGGAAGAATGGTAAAAAGAGTAAATGGGAGACTAACAAAAATCACATGACCACCAGGGAAAATGGAAAACAGGATGAGACAGAATGAAGTTGGGGAATGGGTGAACAGGACATAAATGAAGGGGAGAAGTAAAACGGGGAAGCAAATATGCAAGGAGACAAGGAAATGAAGGCTTACTTGTATATATGATTCAGGGAAATTAATACCAACCTGGACCCAATAGGAGGATGCATACATGTTTGAAACGTATGAGGCAAGTGGTACAGAAACAAATTGGTTTAAGGATATGGTAATGGGATATAACATGGTATAACAAATTATTCACAGCTCTGACCCAATTCCAACCTCCTCCTTCCTACATGTACAAGAGGAATGTGATACATGTGTTCAAGTACATTATGAGTGGAATTATTTAAGACTTGTAAAATAGAAAAAAAATATTTGAACATGGAAAAAGTACTTAGTCACTGGTGACATTGGTTGTGTAGGGATTGAGCAAATTGAAGGCGATTCAACACGTAAAGTTGTCTATCATTCTGGTGGAAGCCAGACATGTCTGATTCAGAGAAGCTGAAATAAAACTCAAGGTCTTAAAAGAAAGCACTGAAAATGCAAAACGTGCCTCATCTGTGAAGGTAAGCCAAACATATAGAATCCATGTGAAACCCCTCCAGTTGATTCTCCATGGCTTCCAGTTGTTACTCCATTGCTGCAAGGCATGTCCCTGTAAAAAGAAAACATTTGGAAATTACCATCAAAGTTACAAACACTTGCTTTACCTCTTATTTTCCACTCCTAAAATATTTTCTACCCCAAAAATTGAGAGAAACTGATGAAAAAGCAACAGATACCCCTTATGAAAGAATTCTATAGGATTCTTATACAAATTTCCTGTAGGATACAAAAGGTGATTGCCATAAAGTGGAGGGAAGGGTACAAGACTTGTTTGATATAAGGACAACAGTAGGCTACAACAGACATGTCACTTGTGGAGCTAAGTGTACACATTATCATGGAAAAGTTTGAGTACAGCTGAGAATCAGACTTTAGAGCTGGGTGCAAGCAGGTATTTAGCCAAAGGTAAGGAATGTGAAGGCAAGGGGGATATGTTTCCATTTTTAAATGATCTGCAGTGCTCCAGAGAATGAAAGATATGCAGCAGTTGAACTTTTCTCAAACCATTTGGAGATATTGCATTTTTCCCTCGTCATCTGCTATATGCATCAATGAGTATCCTGGGAATTTCTCCATGACAAGATCTATGAAGGGAAAAAAGAGAAGCAAGGACTAGTTGATTTAACTCAGTTGTCATGCCCTTGTAGCCAATCAGATACCAACAGACAAGTAATAAGATTATAAACATTTAACCTTTTTTTACCATTTAACCAAATATGAAAAATAAAGGGATACTTTAAACAGTAGAACAAAACATGTGACCTTCATCATAGAAGGTAAATCAACTCCCCATGGAATTTCCCAGTACGTAAATGAACCGACTTGCGAGCAAGCTTTATTGTATTTAGTTTTTTTGGATTTAGCATCTCTCATGAGCAATCACGAAGCAATCGCAAATCGTTCGTGAAGTTTTTCCTTACTAGCTCCCATCCTGAATTGAATCACTTCCTAGTTCTTATTTTAAATATAAAAAAAATCATTTCAAGAACTGCGAGAACCAAGAGATTGAAAGGAAAATGCGCCTCTTTTAGGGCTGTATATGAAGGGGGGGGGGCAAGGGATCACCAGCAAGGGACAGCCAATACGAGCAGCTTTAGACCGCCGCGTACTGGTGTGCAGGAAAGATGGGAGTTTAAAGTGTTTCTAGGCAAATGCACGCAGCTTACGTAATAAAATCGACGAGTTCATGGGGGAGGTCGAGGAACGGCTGGTCAGCGGTGCAAAGAACCCCAAGGCTTTTTATCACTGTGTTAGTGGTAGGTGTCAACAGTCGATCGAGCCGCAAATGAACATCACATGGGAGTCGATTGCAAGTAATAAGGATATGGCCGGGATACTTAACAGAGTACGGGAGCATGGGCCTCATTTCCAGAGATCTACGACTCTCACCCCTCAGCCAATTAGCTAGCACTCACGTCATCTGCTCCTGTGTGGAACTGGGATTATGTATGGGAATATACTGTACTTTATTCAACCTCTATGTTTTCGCCCACGCTTCCATTCTCCTTCAAATAATTTTTTAAAATCAGAACTAGATAAGAAGTCCCACCTGGCGATGGAACTGAGGGAAGTAATGAAAAGGCAGAAGAAGGTGCATGAAACTGGCAGGGAAAGTACTAGCAAGCATGTACAATCAGAATTTCCTTTTCAGGTGAGAACAAGCCAAAGGAGATGCATTCATCTAAAAAAAAAAAAGGTGCTATGGTTGCTTCATTATCAGAATGGATTGTCATAGGCTCAATATTGAGTTATATGCTCATTGTAAGCTCTTCCCTCTTTGATCTTAGACAGTAATATGTTGTGAGATGGTGGGAAGAAAGGGGGAGATGGGAGTATCTCAGTGTAAATTAATTTTGAAAACAGATTGTGCATTCTTCTTAAGATTTTGAAACATTGTAACTGGATAGCCTTGAGTTTGAAAGCTTTTATGATTACATTCCCATCTATTCAGCCCAATAGCTTTCTTTCTAGGTCCTAAGGCAAACTCAGGAACAATATTCACTAGCACTAGTTGACTTTGCCATGTCCAACTAGAACGAAGAATATAACCTCAAGACGAGAGAGCCCGTAACAGCCAATTAATCCTCACTCAAAGAATATCATATGGCAATCATTTCATTTCTCTGTCCTTTTGTGAGTGCTCTTTCAGGCTACAGCAGAGCAGTGGAACTAAAAGGTCTTCTTGGTGCAAAGAGCACCAAGCTAAGTTGTCTGCCCTACAATAGGAGGTCAAAGCCCTCAAAGCAGAGAACTGTCTGCTTCAAAGGCATAATGGATTTCTCCAAGATGGTGAGGTGCATCTACTTGAAGCCTGCTTCCTTACATGCTAAATGTAAGAAATAAGAAAGTTTAAGGTGAGCATGAAATGAAAAATATCCATGGAAAAGTGAGTGCATTTAGTTGTTGGGAAGACCCCTAAGTTCTAGAATAACTTCTTTTACCTGAGCAATATACAAGCCTATAGCCTTGCAAGCTGCATCTGAGTTGAAAGAGTAACTGATGTATCCTGAAAGTCATGGATAAAAATTAATTTTTGGACCTACGGAAATTAATTTTTTAAACTTCAGATGTAGAAATATACTTCATATGACCAGTAAAGTACCTCTATTTGGTGATTATAGGAACATGCTATGAACAAGCTGCATGCTACAGGCATGAACTATTTGCATCAGATCTGGGTCTGTGCTTCTGTCATTGCACATAGTGATTCAAGAATGAAACGGAAGTGCATTTACCCTACAAATTTCTATCCTTGATACCAGTATTTATATTTCTCTGCTTAACCTCTGGAGTTATTTCCTGCTTAAGAACACAATGATTTATCGGATAATGACCTTTCTTCAAATTTATCATATATAAATACATATATATATATATAATGTTCTTTTTACATAGATCTGCTGAGACTGATCTAGCCATCTCTGTCATGATCCTCCTCATCAGGAGAAACTTCAACAATTTAACAGAACCCAGGATCAATAGTAGAGGAGGTGATGGAAGATGCAAATAATCCAGTCAAAAGAAGCCTTAACCCTTTGGAGCCTCACTGTATTCTGAAGAGGTATGACATGATCTTATCTTGGAACATCCAAGCTAATTAAAAGTACTGCAGCCTATTTAGGTAATCCATTTACCAGATCAAAGTCTGGGGGTGAAAGCATTCAGCCCCATAATTCATTAGAAACTTTTGAATCAGTGGCTATTGTCAGTTTCTCTTGCAGGGAGGAGACAAGATCTCACACCTTGTTGCAAGGAAATTCACCACAATCACTTTGGGATGCACATCCTTGGCAACCATCAAATGCTCAATTGGTACAGAGAAATGAATGTTCCTTTGAATTCTTGGGTAGTTTCTGCAGCCACCGCTACAGTAAGTGAAGTTCTTAGTTTTTTCCAAGATTAAGTTTAGCTCCTAATTTTGAACCCTTTTCTCCCCACTCCCTTTGATATGTACCATCTTCATAAATTTTACTTTATGACTAATGAGAGGCCCCAGTAAAGTTTCTTTTTCTTTTATCTCACAAAGAAAACTTTCTCTAAACAATTTTTTTATATTAAATTCCTTGGGATTGAGTTATCTCTTCTGATGAAGTCCACATGTTTTGTCTTACTGTTTCAAGTCTTTCTGTATTTACCATATTTGATTAAATGGTAAAAAAAAAAAAGTCAAATGACTATAACCATATGATTTGCCTGTTGGTTTCTGATTGCCTACAAAAGTGTGACAACATTTAATCCAACAAGTCCTTGCTTCTCTTCTTTCCTCTACAGATCTTGTCATGGAGAAATTCCTAGGTTACTCAGAGAACCATATAGCAGATAACAAAGGGAAAAGGCAATGTCTCCATATGGTTCAAGAAAAGTTCAACTGTGGTGCATCTTTCATTCTCTGGAGCACTGCAGATTTGATTAAAAAATCAAAACATATTCCCCTTGCCTTCAATCTTTAGAGCTGGGTACAAGTGGGAATTCAGCCAAATGTAAGAATGTGATTTCATAGCTGTGCTTTTCCCTGATAATGTGGACACTCGGCTGCACAAGTGACGTTTGTTGTAGCCTACTGTTGTCCTTGTATCAAACAAGACTTCTACCCTTCCCTCCACTCTATGGTAACAACCCATAGAGTTCTATGAGATTTGGGAAACAAAAATCTTATAGGATTCCTATAGGAAATTTGTATAAGAATCCCATAGGATTTTTTCATAAGGGTTTTACTTGAACCTCCCCCAAAATGAATTGACACTGGACATGAGTGCTGTTAATATCTAAGAGTTGGAAGGGTTCTCAATTATTAACCTGTACTGGCAGTGAGATTAATCCTTGACTTCAATGAAATCATCACCAAACATGAAGAACAGAAACAATACGTTCTTCAAGTTGCTCAGCAGCATTGAAAAGATTTCAAAACAAGCAAAAAATCAACACCAGATGAGAAGCATGGATAAAATAGGCAACATGACTAAGTCTGCAAGATGTAGTTGAAATGAAAATGATTAAACCTGCCCAATGCAAAATACATGTGCAATAAGTTTCATGAACAAATTAAAAAAACTCTAGAGTGAAAACAAAATGCAAGTCCAACAAGACCACATTTTGGCAAGTAAGAGGAATGATGGTGAGTACACATAGCGACAAGGTCTCTTATCCAAGGAGGAGATTAAAATGTTAACATTCAAATTGCATTAAGCACATGTACCTATAGCAGTAGGGACAGCTATGAATCTGGTAAATACTTTCTGCTGACCTACTGTTGCCAGGAGCAAACAGTTCACTGACATGGAATGTTGTCTCGTGGCAAAGATGCCCTGGCAACCCCACCTAGTGGAGAAATATTTGAGCCTTACAAGATGGAAGGAATTATGTGTGGAAGCCTAAAGCACTTCCTAGCACATGGTTTATTACTGCATACACCAGTATGCAAGTTGTTCAGATCTTTTCATCTGGACATCAGGTTACATATCCTGATCTGAAGCTGGAGCTACATGTGATTCCCCGGACACCATAATCTGCTGACTACATTCACCATCTCAAGTCAGTGACACCCACTGCCCTAGGAAAACCGAAGCTTTTCTAGAGGTCACTGGAGTGTATTTAAGACCCCCTTCCAAACCATTGGGTGAAGGTTGAGGAGAAATGATTAGAATTCAGAAGCCGTCCAGAGTTTAAAATTGTTGATACCCTAGAGCTTCCATTCAAATTCAACAGGGGCACCATATATGTGTGGCTTTCATGAAATCTGGCATTAATCACATCTTTAGTTGTAAAGCTCCATTGATTTGTAGCTAAAGGTTCCTCAATCAGGGCAAAATAGAACCTCATCATTAAACCAAAGCAAGCCACAATGCATTTAGTCCACAGAGGGGAAATCCTAATGTGATGGTCCTCCACATTTAGTCATTCATCATCTACCATGCTTGCCTTTCATTAGGGCCATATTCCATGCCAACTGACCTAGGGATGACGCTCAAGCATCTCAGAAAAAATTGAAAATATTCAGAATTAAACAGTCTTACATGAAACTTCAAAATCCAAAATATTTAATTTTTATTCTTGTTTGTACATGAAATATGAATGTAGAAAATATCAGTTTTCAAGCATGTGTGACCCCTCGGGCGAATTTCATAGCTCTCACACAATGCCAGCAGGCAGCATTATGCATAGAAATGCATGGAATAGCTCATTTGAAAGGTCTGAAATAGTAGAATCCAATTGTTCCCATGAAAATAAGGGTATTTTGAAACTTGAATTACATATCATTTTCGAAAATGTATTAATTTCTTTGAATTTCACCACCCCATTATGTGTTATGGAAGTCACCGCAACAAAACCAAAATTGCAGTGCTAAGAGTCCACCTCCGGCTGTTTTATGATGTGTTTTATTTAGGTTTTTCCATCCCCACGTGTCGAACATTAAAGTCGAATATCCCATTTTTCATGATTTTAGCAAACTTTGACCTAATTTTTTTAAGATGTGGGGATCCAGATAAAATTTGTATCATATGTCATATGAAAGAGCATTCCAAGATCTACACAATGACATGAACTTCCTTCTGGTACAGTCACATACCGAAATGTTATGAATTTTCTCATTTTGGCGAGTTGTGGCTTTGACTCAGTTCAATATGAAAAGACCACAAGAATGCCATCAAATAATTCACGTAAAAGAATATAAGCAGTTGAACTTGCTCTCATAGGAGTTCATATTGAACTGAGTCAAGGCCACAACTGACAAAAATGAGAAAATTCATAACATATCGATATGTGACTGTAACAGAATGAAATTCATGTCATTGTACAGATCTTGGAATGCTCTTTCATATGACATCTAAGACATATTTCTACCTGGATCGCCACATCTTAAAAAATGAGGTCAAAGTTTGCTAAAATCACGAAAAATGGGATATTTGACTTTCACTTTCAACACATGGGGATGGAAAAACCCAAATAAAACATACATCATAAAACTGGGCCAGAGGTGGACTCTTAGCATTGCAATTTTGGTTTTGTTGTGGAGACTTCCAAAATAGATAATGGGGTGGTGAAATTAAAAGAAATTAATACATTTTGGAAAATGATATATAATTCAAGTTTCAAAATACTCTTATTTTCATGGGAACAATTGGATTCTACTATTTCAGACCTTTCAAATGAGCTATTCCATGCATTTCTAGGCATAGTGCTGCCTGCTGGCATAGTGTGAGAGCTATGAAATTCGCCCGAGGGGTCACACATGCTTGAAACCTGATACTTTTGACATTCATATTTCACGTACCAACAAGAATAAAAATCAAACATTTTGGATTTTGGAGTTTCATGTAAGACCGGTTAACTCCGAATATTTTCAATTTTTTCTGAGATGGCTGAGCGCCATCCCTCGGTCAGTTGGCATGGAATGGCCCATTATCCACTTGTCTTTTGCTGATTTCCAAATACAGTCGTCCCTCGCCACTTCGCGCTTAGACTTTCGCAGCTTCACTCTATCGCAGTTTTTTCAAATACCTGTATATTGGGTAATACGAGTGTAATGGTGACTAAAGAGTGTTATTTCATGTCTAGAGGGCTCTAATAGACATGAAATAACACTCTTTAGTCACCATTACACTCGTATTACCCAATATACAGGTATTTGAAAAAACCGCAATAGAGTGAAGCAGCGAAAGTCGAAGCGCGAAGTGGCGAGGGACAACTGTACTCCTGTTTCTACAGTGCCAGTTTTTCCAAAAGGGAATGCTTTCTTAGTTCATCTTGTGAAGAGTCAGACAGAAAAAATGTTTCTGCATAAATATCCACAATTAAGATCACTTGTGCAGGAATTTCAATTTCCTCATACTTAAATAAGTACTGGACATGACCTGCTACAAAGTACACGAAAATAAATTGCATGGAAATATGCTACATCCCTGAAATGGAGTGAAGCACTCAGGATTAGGTTCATTAACCAGCCTCAAAAGTTTCGGTTTCAATTGTATTCTTTGTTTCATTCTCAGGATGCTGAATTTCAATTACTGTTTCCCTCCTGGGGGAAACAAAGACCTGCATAAAGAAACAGTGAATACTTGCATTAGCTTCTACTTAATGAAGTTTCTGCATAATTCAGTTATTCCATGGGTTTTTATAGGTTTACCTATTTGCTTCTGAGTGACTGGCATCATGAGGCCCCTTAGAAGGCCTAACTTCAACCTTTGGCTTATTTTTTCTTGTTTCTTTGGTAAGGGTCCCAGAGGAAATCAAAGACTTCTGCAAGATATTGCTATGAGAAGATATCTGTATTACATTCTCCATTATTTTCAAGATTTTCTTCATTCCTCATCCCCTCTAGTGCAGTCTGTCTGAGGCCTACCCATTTTCCCAGGTTAGCAAAGTGATTCTTGTATCATTCTTATGAGTTACTCAAGTTGAGACTTTACGGTTTCACACTTTGGGACTATCCTTGTTTATCATATGGCATGGCTAGTCTCTTGGCATTTTAGGAATTTTCAAGGGTTAAGGAAGGGGCGGGGGTCACCGGTCAATGAGTGCATCCTCAAGTCATGTGGTATATTGCACACTGAGGGCAGCCCCTTTTGCATTCAATGGCACACATGCAGTCAGACATTCTTATGTAGCCAACTTCCAATAAAGGCTGCACACCTTGGTTCTAGATGCAACTCACGATGAGAGAATCCACAAACAGGGCTCATTACAGTGACTAAATCCTGCATAAATGGAGATGTCCACCTCATGTCCCTCCTCTTCTGCATACAAGAAGAAATCTCTCGGGGTAAGGGTTGCCACAACACTGGGATCAGGATCCTTTGGGGCCTGGAAGAAAGAGTGAAAATTAGCTGATGCTGAAGATGCCAAGATAACAGGATGCAGACAAACAATAAAAAAAAGAATCTAAAAACTAGGGTTCACAGGAAGTGGCCACAGCGTTTCCTACCTCCTTAACCCATACAGAGTGCAAGTTTTATGCAGGAGCAGACGACGTTAGCACTTTCTGATTGGCTGTGGACAGGGAGCCGTTGAGTTCAGAAACAATGCCATGAGTTCCGTGGTCAATAGTAGACCGCGGAGGGCTGCCTCGCTTCTCCCTCCTTTATCTCGAAGACCAGGTAAGCAAACTGATTCTTGTACCATTCTTGAGAGTTACTCATGTCCTGACTTCACGGTTTCACACTTTGTCACTATCCTTGTTTAACATATGCCTTACATTAGATGAGGTTTATACATGTTAAGCTCTAGTAGTAGGCTTTGTCTTGTCACAGAGCCTCGGCCTATTCTAGAAAAGGCCCATGTATCAGTGGGATGACATGTCATGGAATGGTACATAAAATAAACCCCTATATGGCAACAGTCCATTATACCTCTATGAATCCCCTTTGTTAAGTAATCAGAACAAGACTGAGTCCTTTCACTTCCTTCTCCCAATTAACTCCTATGTCTTTGGTGTTGCCAACAACCCAAGGATGTCTCTCCAACAACTCCATGGCTAGTCTCTTTGCAGATATAGTAATTTTCAAGGGTTATGAAATTGCCATGTGTCGTTGCTCAACGAGTGCATCCTTGAGCCACACGGTATATTGCACAGAGGGCAGCCCCTTTTTCATTCAATGGCACACATGCAGTCGGCATCCTTATGTAGCCCACTTCCAATAAAGGTTGCACACCCTGGTTCTAGATAAACTCATGATGTGAAAATCCACTAAAAGGGCTCAATGCAGTGACTAAATCCTCCTAAATGGAGATGTCCTCCTCACATCCCTCCTCTTCTGCATACAGAAAGAAATCCCTTGAGGTAGGGGTGGTCACAACACGGGGACCAGGATCACTTGGGGCCTTGAAGAAAGGGTGAAAGTTAGCTGATGCTGAAGATGCCAAGATAACATGCAAACAATAAAAAGAAGTATCTAAAAAACTAGGGTTCACAGGAAGTTGCCACAGCATGTTCTGTAGTAACGCCTCCTTAACCATTCCATACAACAGTCACACCATACAGCCTGGTGTATGATTTCACCTTAACTCTTTCAACATGAACCTGGCCATGTAGGACAGTTATGTACATAAACTTCTTAGTGAAAGGGCAAAAGAAACTAAAATTAGCAGATCACTGAAAGGGTGACTCATCAAGGTCGGCCCAATTTTTCTTTTTCATTTTAAGGAGAGGTTCTGCAGCATGTTACCACTGCTATCTGCAGCAATAAAAGATGGTGAACTACATTTCATGTATTCAAATGGCAAACCTATGTTGCTTGAGAAGGTAGGGATGGCTTGGCAACATGCTTCACAATGAGTGAAGGGCTAAGACAAGTGACATCTTAAAGCTACTGAACCAAGTGATCTGCATGATGATGGCTATGATTACCATAGGAGGGAAAGAAATGCAGATAAGATACCTTGAGAGACAAGATTTTGTGAATGGAGAATATAAGAGATATCTGGAATGCATGCATGTTGGCACATAACCTGGTGATAATTATATTGTACCATTTCCGTAACTTAAATATGGAATTTTAGAAATTCCAAACAAGTCCGCAGCAACAATATGAACTAATTATGAGAGGGGGTAAAAAGCTTCTAACCTACCAGGGAAAGAGATAAGATGCACGTCAATGAGGATTAACCAGGAACATTGTGCTCCATCACCTGTGACATGGCAACTGAAACTTATTTGGAGGTTGATAGTAAGCAGACATGTAAGATTAAATTATCCATGGAATTCAAGGTTTCTGGATGCACTGAAAAACCACAAGAGTTTGGGTTCTTATGAGAATATAATTGGCCAATTGCTGCTTATACCTTATAGATATAGGGGGATAGAGAAGCCCTTGAACTTAAGAGTTACCTTTACTCTATAGGAATCCATGCAACATAATCTTAACATTTTGTTAACATTGTTAACATAATCTTGTCTGGAGAGAGTAAATGGGAATCAATTGGAAGCAAGTGACATTATTCTACAGAATCCCCCACAGTGAAGAAATTCCTTAACATACAAATTGAGTCTCAGAATCAAATTAACATTTTCAGGGAAGGAAGCTTAACCCATTGGAAAAGGGAGCTTCATGTACATTGAAACCCATGAAATCTGAACCTGCACATATTGTCAGGATATTGTCCTGACTATCTCAAGTCTTACAACCATTAACTTACTTATCCACCCACCTCAGATGTTCTCCCTTGGGGGAAACTGCTATTCCAAAACATACTTAACTATAATATAATGATATTAGTTATGAAAATGACTTGAGAATATTATAACATTCATGCATATAAAAATTACTCCCCACCCAAATGAGTGTGGAGTAGGGGGGATTTCCTTTCATGTTTCCTGCAGTCATACCTGAGATGCGTCATGTCAATTGGTAGATGTACTCAGAGTCTAACGTTAAACGCAAGAAGCGCTATAATGAGCGTGTACCAAACCATTGCAAAAACACAGTACGGTCACTCAGCAATTTACCCATCATCGAAAAATGATGCCCAACTGCAACCCTCACGAATCCTTGGCCTAATCCTGACCACCACAAGATCAACCCTAAGCATTCTTTGCTCGAAAGAACCCCCAACCCACGACAGCCTGGCCTTCAGCGAGTTTGCCTGTGTCCTCGAGTCAATTTGTGAAGAGGTTATCGTTAGGCCTATGATACGTCCTACCTCGAATTTCACAGACCATTTCAGAGTTACAAAAACGACGAAAAGTTAGGCTAATAACGTTCCTATCCCGAGTTCACAGCACCATCTCGACAGGGAAGTCGGTGTCTACTTGACTGAGGTGAAAGTCATCATGCAACGGCAGCAAAAAGGGAGTGTAAAAAGTGGGACAACACAGGAAGTACGGGAGGCGTGCATCTGAGAGACATCTGGTGGCATACTACCGACATCACTTCCTTTACAGTGTTTTTCACTTGACCTCGACAACGGTGCATGGTGAGGGTGATATAGCGGATCGACGCAGAAACTAGGAGTTCCATACTAAAGTGCAGATGTCGTGATGACATTGACGACAACGATGATGAAGAGAGGAAAACCAATATGAACCTTCCCTAATACACAATATATTGAAATTATAATTTAATGTCGTAGTGAAAAACCAGGCTTTCGTGTCACCCATTACTGTTTTCCTTAATACTGTATTTCAATAAAACAGGTGAAGTTTTGGGCATCGTTCCTGGGTTCTGAAGTATTATTCCCCACGCAGAACTCACGTAGGCTAGATTAGGTCTATCTAACGTGGATCTGGGATTGTCCATCGAAGTCCGATCCAGTGTTTCTACATCGTTGAGCCGATGGGAAATTGAAAACTTAGAGCCTTTTTATTTAAATAGACTGCAGGAAGGTCTCCCGTTGACAACATTTATTTCAATAAAACAGATGAAGTTTTGGGCATCGTTCCTGGGTTCTGAAATATCATTCCCCACGCAGACCTCACGTAGGCTAGATTAGGCCTATCTAACGTGGATCGGGGATTGTCCATCGAAGTCCAATCCAGTGTTTCTACATCGTTGAGCCGATGGAAAATTGAAAACTTAGAGCCTTTTTATTTAAACAGATTGCAAGGACGGTCTCCCGTTGACAACATGGCTATGCATGCGGTTCATCGTTTCCAGTAAATAGTTTGATTCATATGAAAAAGCCTAAATATTCGAAGGAAAGAAAGATGTCGCTATTCACCAGGGGCACCAGCCCCTGGTGACTAGCCGCCTCCACTCTGAATACCCCTCGCATCGGTGTCTTAGTCAAGTGAAAAATTGTCTAACTGAAGTGAAAAACACTGTAAGACCCAGCAGTTTTTAGTAGTCCATATCTGGAAACTTTCAGAGTGACTCTTGTATCAGAGCAATAATGAACTGCACTGTGGAGTCAAAGATTTATGGTGTGACCCTTTAAGGGAACCAAACCCGATGAATGTTTCCACAAAAATTCTGCAGTTTTAATTCATTGCATGTGGATCAAAAGATGGAATATGGCTTTAATATATATATTTGAACTTTCAAGATCTATATGTTCAAGTCTGGAGAAATTACTCGAAAATGGGAAAATGTGGAATGGGGTTTGGAGGTAGTCAAGTTATCTGGGGTGCTACAGTCACTGATGAGTCCCTCGTCTTCCTCGCTGGTCAATGGTGATGAGAGATACAATGGCTCATTCCCATGCACCACATACATCCATGACATCCCTGGTACAGTCAATCCCAATGGACTCTGCGGTGATGACTTGTGGTTACTGTTTTCTGGCTGCTTCTGCTCCTCCTCATGGGTCTGAAGGGCACTGGCCAGATGCTTATCTGGAAAAACAAAGAGCACCTCAAAATGAAACATGCATGAATCATGTCACCCAAGACATATTGGCATGACCCTGAACTAGACATCCATGATGGAATCAACTGTCCTTGGAGATCTAGACTGAGCTCACCTTTGCAGTCATATTTGTTTCTGGGGATTCATGATTCCCTAATACTCTAGGATGTTTTATTTCTTTCTTCATTGTCTAGTGTCATGTCCACAACAGGGAGAATATTGTATATATGGGAGCAAATTCTTGGCAAGTGCAGAAGGGAAGAGGAATGATAGAATGTTGGAAATCTGGCCTTGCAACATGGACTGGAACACGATTCACTTGTTTGTGTTCTTTGGTACCATTATCATTAAAGTTATCACATTATCATTAAAGTAAAGTTCTAAAGCTGTAACTTAGGTCTTTCTTAGTTATTAAGGCTGGAAGACCTTGAACAGCAGGCTATGCCTATATACGCTACACCAGTGGTGCCCAACCTTTTCAGCTAGGGGGCCACATGGCTCACTTCTACAGCCATCGCAAGCCATATGCAGTCACTAGTATAGTAGGAGACTATTTTAAGGAAACCTGAAGGTATTTATTGTGGGTTAGGGCCTTGCAGGCTACTTGTAGGCACCTTGTGAACCACTTTTTGCCAGCGGGCCACAGGTTGGGCACCACTGCTCTACACCACTCAGGTGAGAGGCCATGCTAGTTTGAGCATTTACTATATTTTCATACCCAATGGGTGCCACAGTCCAGATGTTTGGTGGGCTGCATGAATAAAACTTGAACACCTTGCGGTCCACTGGCAGACCTAGTCTGACTGGAAAGAAAGATGTCGCTAGTCACCAGGGGCACCAGCGCCCTCGCCTCCTCTCTGAATACCCCTCGCATCGGTGTCTTAGTCAAGTGAAAAATTGTCTAACTGAAGTGAAAAACACTGTAGCAATGCTCAGTCAGAATCAGAATTCGAACCATATGGTGTCCCTAATTGAATACGAATTTAAAGTCGAGTCCCATTTCACAGTATTTCATTAAATATTTACTTTTTGTCAGGAATAGTTAATTGCGAACAGACTCTTTCCTCTATGCCCTCCTCCGAGTCCTTTCTCGCTAATTTCTAGGGGAGGACATTTCCGGAACAGGAATTGCTATTGCGTTTCGCTACAGAATCATTTGAATGAGAAGCGGATCATTGCCAGATGTAACCACCCAGAACAACTACTTTCCCACCGAGTCGGACATCGACCATCGAATCTCGAATGGGCGTTGCGATTGTTGCCATCGCTTCAGCGGGAGACATCGGCGCTTCATTCCAAACGATGTCGGTAGCTCGAATCATCAGCTTGATTTTTGCGCCATGAATGACACCTTTAGTGCGCGAGCAGATCCATTGCGAAGTCGAAGGCTGTGCGTCGCGTCATCCCACCAGACAGCTAAATTGCAGAAATACCAGTCGGCACGTAACGCTCAAAACTGTCTACTTCTATGAAGTATGTCAATTCATGTAGTGTACAAGAATAGTTTGTCAACGCCCACCTGCTCTATGGATAATAAACAGCGACGCACTTCCAGTTTCGAACTTGCAAGCGCCCCTGCTTTTGAAGAACTTCACGCCCGTATCGTAAACGTAGAACGTACAGTTGAGATTACCCTAGTTACTGTTTTTGATTTAGCGCAGGAACGACATTATCAAATAGATGTTGTACCGAAAGGAAGTAGACGCGTTTGTGCTGTAATACTGCCTGTTAAACTCGCGAAAATTGCGAGCGTTTTCATCTTTTTAACAATCTTTTCAACTTGCATCGTTTTCAGCTCTGGCGGAAACTCCAATGGGTTCGAATGGAACATCGTAACATGATGACACCAAACTTGCCTTTCTCCGCTTCGAAATGAAAAACCAGGCAGTGCTCAACAGCATATATTCAAAGGGTCGCAACCATGAGAAACGGCTAGAATGACGTTGGGCGTCCTAGCCAACGCAACTCGAGCATCCTTAAAGGTTCATCCGCGCAGCGTTAACACCCTCGTATTGCTCTGCATTTAATGCAGCTCTCCTCTCAGCATTAACACTTTCCAACTTGCTCCAGACCTACGCAGCCTGGCGGTAGTGGCGGGCCGCAGAGCGATTACAGAGAAGTAGTGCTGAGAGGTGCAGTCCTCTCAGAGGTTTCCAAATTAAAATTTTTTGCATTCATGTTTATTTGAACTGAATTATGTGTGCGATACACACACTTTAATCATAGAATCAGGTAGAATATTGCTGTTCGTAAAACTTGAGGCTGTTACAATGTGATTCCCACATTACTCAACCGTAATACTGGAAATTTGGGACCAACATCTCTATATGTTGGTCTTTCAGTGCGAACTCTGTGCCTCTGCTAATAACATGATAACTAGCGCGAACTGGAGCCAGGTTTTCCTGCACTCTCATCTTGAAAATATTCCACTGAGCAAACAAGGCCTTTTTCAGAGCCTCTGTCTTGTCAGTCCTGATCTGGCCTTTCAGAGAGTCATACTTGCCTGAATGATGTGCTTCGTAATGCCGCCTACTGCTATATTCCTTGGACACCGAAACGCTCCCCTTACGGACAAGACAAACTGCTTTAGCACTGCACAAGCAGGTAATCGTGTGTCCGCTGAACACCCGACACTCGAAGCCAACTTTTCGTTTTTTAAAATTGATTTTGACAGCGACATGGTGGAAGGGCAGGTTCACAATAAAACAAATTGAAAACGTCCACCAACACACCAGCCTCCGAAAGCCACGAAAAGTGCAGCACGACTAACAAGTCCCGCCCTCTCATTCCATCGACATAAAACAAAGGACAGGCGGTACAGAGGGCGCGCGTGCTGGTACAACAAGGATTAGCGTTTCTCGAGGCTGAAGTCCGAACCAAGTCCTCTGCGTTTGCAAACCCGCCACCTCACGCGCTGGCGACGGTTCGTAATGGCTCGAATCTCAGACAGTCGCAGGTCACCAGCAGGCAATAAAAGCACAGAACACTGAAACGATATTCTCTCCTTTCCAACGATAAACGAGGCTGCTGTGAGGCAGAGATAGATTTGTCCAGGTTTCATGGATCATTTAATAAAAATTTAGCGCAGCCTGACCAAGGTCGTGGCGGGCCGTAGGTTGCCGACCATTGGCATAGGCTTGGCGCGGTTTCGTCATTCATCTATGACATGGAAAGGCTCGTAGGCTTATCGGCTACCTAGCCTATGAGCTACCTAGGCCATGTTCTTGCGGAGCAAAAACTGTATAGACCAGAGGCTACACCCACCACGAATCTCCTTAAAGGGGCGCAGTACCCTTCGTTTTCTTTCAGCCAGCCTAAATCACTCTCGGATTTCTTAACGCTTAGTTCCATACATATGAACCATATATATCAGTTATCCACTCATTGACCTGCTTCTAATGATGGTACTTATAAGTACCGCACCAATAAGTCACTAGTACATGGTCTCAGTATCTCAAAAACGGCAAGATCGATTCCAAAATCCCAATTTTATGCCACGGAGAAGGTCGCTAGTGTTACGGATTTGCAAGAGGATGTTTACAAATTTGGCGCGTTTTCATGCTATTTGAGCTAAAAGTTGGCGCCATTGAGGTCCATTATAATGGTTTGCTTGCACCTTCAAAAAATAGATGGCAGATCTGCCTCCACACGAAAAATGGGCAGCATGAAGAAAGCTCCACCTTTCTCTAACCTTATTGCCCGGTTTTCCAGAATTTTTTAACGTAAGGGGACGATCCCCTGAAAAGGGGTTCAGAGCCCTCCCTTCCACCCCCTTCCCTATTAAAAATAAATATAAGGGAAAGCCACGTAGTTATGAGATATGGACCGATTTGCGTTGGATGCCTTACAACTCTGATATACGTAAGATAAAGTGTAATCATCAGCAGTTATGTCCTCTTTCGGGGCGTTTTGTCTATTCGGCTTCACGGTAGACACGAAGGCAAATCTTGGCAGTGTAGAAAATGGCTTATACGAGGGGCACCCTAGACGTTCTAGCCAAATTGCATTAAATATCCCTTGATCCTAATAAAATATGTTGGTGTTGCTTTCCTGGGATTCAGTGATTTTTTTTGGAAAATTGTTATCAACACAACGAAGCGTAGCGTAAGTCCAAAGTCCCCCCACCAGTACATATGACTTTGACCCAGAGTGATCGGCGAGTGCTGATTTGGAATCGTTTCTGAAGTGGAAGGGGAATCCAACATGAACAAAATTCATGCCCCCCAAAAATTGTAACATGAGATTTTTTTTTTCAATGCCGCCGCTCCAGTCCCAAGGGTCTCTTCTGTGACAGCACGCCATATTTCGGTCTTCCGCTATCATGGCCTTCACTTCAGCCACATTTGTCTTGTCACTTGCTGAAATTGGACGACCTTCACGAGGCCCGTCCTCCATACTAAAATGTCCAAACCAGAACTTTAGAAACCAGTCATCCACAAATCACATGGAAGGGGCTAGACAGCCCAGTTAGACGTCTTTGAAACCATGGCAAATCAGCACTTGCTGATTTCCCTTGACGAGAGTGAATGACCTGAGGGGTGCCCCTTTTTGGGCCTTATGCTACGAATATTTTGTTTTCGTCGCACCATTTTGGTTTAGGAAAAAAAAAAAAAAAATTCACCTAAGCTTGTTGAATCCCGGAAGAACAATACCAAAAAATGTCATTAGGATAAGGAGACATATTTGGCATGATATTTTGCAGCGCCCCTCTTACGTTCTGTTGTCTTTCTCGAATATATTTTGAAGACCAGTTCCAAACCTCGACTCCAACTGAGATGTCAGGACGACAGAAACCAAATCAGGCCCAAATGACATCCGACTGCGTCGAAGTAGTGGACTGATAGGGGTCGTCAAAATGAGGCAATTGATGACTTTGAGCTTTTCAGACCAAAATTTATTGGCGCACACGCTGGGAGACATGAAAAAGAATTTTACACCCTAGAGACATTTGAAGAAGACAGTGTCATTGTCTCTCCGACTCCATATCATTTTCGCTATACGATGTTCCAATCCATCTTGATTCTGAGTCCATTTCCCAGAAAGGGAACACCTAACTAGCGGATGTGATGAACAGAGTGAGCATTCCCCCTCAAGGAATTCATGTCTAGACAGGGTAGGAAAGTAAGGTGAAACACGAAGAAACCAGGCAGAGAAAGCTAAGTTCCCTTTTCCTTTCTCGGCACGGAAAGGACGACTTCATTTAAGATGACCTCTCTTCTCTGTGTATGGTCAAGAATCAACTCGAAAAATATGCTACAATTAATATAATCTCCCTTTGAACCTTACAATGGACCCAGAGGCAAATGGCCTGTGGCTGTGTAGAATACGAAATATCCATTCCATTCCTCTCCTAGCTAAAGCTTGGAATAGCTCCAAAATTCACCCTCTTATACAGGGGATATGAAGTCTTGGACGCGTCCTCCCCCCGGCAGAGACATGACGACTGTGCGCGAGTACAACAAGATTATTGCCAACCCGTCCCTCCCGATTCATCGCGACATCGATGAGACCATCCCGTCCCGCCTAAAATCAAGACGTCCTTTCTGGACTGCCGCGAGAATCCTGCACGACCTGGAAGAACGCTGGCGAGAAGCCTGGTCTCGCGTGGACGTGAAAAATAAGAACCTCATCGGCGATCCATCGACTGAGGTACCAGGTGTCACGCTCCCACGCCGCGAATGGGTAAATAAATCGCATCCGGACACATGATGCACAAGTGGCGTATTAAACAATCTCCAACGTGCGAATGCGGCACTCCAATCCAAACTTTGGAGCACATCAACGAGTGCCCATTGTACTCATTTCCCGGCAGCATCACTAATAACTATTGATTGGATTTCAAAGATTAACATCAATTTCTAACAGTCGCTATACCCATACGAAAGAAGAAGTGGTTTAGATGATAAAAATAAGGGGACTCATTCTCGGACTCAGGAAGGAAAATTCCATCCAATGTTTAGGATAAAAATACATTTAATTAGATTTATTGAGTCTGAATTGATTTAGAACGCTACCACTGTTCTCAGGCAAACGATATCTACAAGGGCATGGTTCTTCTCGAGGCGCGGGACCTGGATTGGGAGGGGATGGGCCTTGACCTCGCCCTTGGCCCGAGACCCGGCGAGACACACTCCGACAGCCATGAAACGCTTCGTCCCAAGCTCTTTTTTCCCGGGTTCGGTGGTGTAGTGGTAGCACACCTGATCGGCAATCAAGAGGCCCGGGTTCAATT